GCTTGCTTTTGTTGTTATTATATTTTTTATTTCCCTTTTCCGCATCCCTCCAACGGCACCCACCTCTCTCGGTTCGTGGGAAGATAAGGTGGCAGAAGAACGCCGCGTGGGGGTGGCGACTCACTCCCTCGCCGCCTTGGACACCTTCGGAGCACTCTTGAAGGTGCCAAACACCCAGTCCCACAGCGTAATGTACTGGCAGTAGTTGTACTTGAACTGCAAATGGTGCAAGTCATGGGCCCGGACGTTGAAGACGTAGGGGATGTGCAGATCAACGCGGGTGTGATTGAGGCCAGCCAGTGTGCCACCAACAAAGATAAAGACCACAGCTGTCAGTGCGTGCATCTGGCCCACTGGTGTGACGCGGCTGAGAAGATACAGCGAAAAAAGATGCAGATACTCCCCGGTGACGTACTCAAACGGGTGGACGTTGATGGCGTCGTCAACGCCGCGAAACGGCGTCACCTGGCGGTGGTGGTGCTTGTGGACGAGGGGGTAAATGGGCGGCCAGTGCAGCGCCCAGTGGAAGAGGGTGTAGAAGAAGTCGTAGACAATAAACAGCGCCACGAGGTGCAGCGGCATCCACGCCACGGAGCGAAGAACTGCCGGCCCGTCCATAAAGTCCACGCACATGCCGCTCACGTCGGTGCGGACAACAAACTGGTATGTGTGGTACACAAAGAGGGCCGTGACGACCTTGGCGAAGTTGATGTAAATTTTGTCCCTCACCGTGAGCGACCGGAGGCACTGCGGGCGGTCCGGTAGGCGGTCCTTCACCACGGATCCAACCAGCGGACACACAACACGCTCGTAGAAGGAGAAGCCAAGATATATGACCCCGGTGAACACCACATCGAAAGCCAGCGCCGACATCTTCCCAAAAGATCCCTCGCGTGCTCCCTCCGTGTCCTCCACAAGACGTGGCTGCGCCTCAGACAGTGTTGATATGAAAGAAATCATTTACCTTTGTTAACGAATATCCGCCTTTGCCGCTGGCCGAATTCTAAAGTTGTCAATAATAGAGACCAAACAAGATAGGAATAAGAAAGGGATGCATGGAATAACAGTGGGCTCACCGCATCCCCAAAGTTCAACAACAGGTAAGTGTATGTTTGTATATCTACGTCATCCGTTAGCCACAATCGTGGCCCGCTCACTCTATTCGGATAGTATACATATGTTTATTTATTGCCTACAACGTGAAAGACTTTGGGGTCCTCCAGCCACAAGACCCCGCCGCCAAGTGGGAATCAAAAGGGGGTGGGTGCGATGGTAAAACAAAAAACAAAAATAAAATAATTGAAGTCCTCTCGACGTCGTTGTTTCCCCGATTCCTAGAATCGCGGCCAACCAAAGAATAAAACATTAGGGGGGAAAAGGTTATAAAGAGTTCGCTTCATCAGGAAACAAATATTAAATTAGGTGGCCAACTTGCCCGCGAACATTCATTTCACAAGATCCTAAAAAGGTTAAAAAAATGACCATTACTGCTAACAATCAAAAATGTACCATCCTTTGCTACACCTGAAGCGCTTGGGCGCAGGAGAGGTGTCATTCCCAAAGCGCTGCATCAATGTTTCGTAGTCACTCTCCCAAACATGGTGCACAACAACAGAACTCTCAGTGACATTCCTTACCCCAAGGCCTTCGTGCACGTTATGAAAGCGGCATGGCCTTTCTGAAAAGAAGACCACGTTCTTGTACCGCATCTCGTGCAGAACACGGCCAACCATCGCATCCTCGTGATCCATGTTCAGGCTCAGAAACTCTGGTTCCCTCTCCTTGCTGTACGGCAAACGCACCAGACGCTGCAACGGCTTGTGCGACACAAACTTCTCCGCCACGTCCCTCGCAAGCGTCATTGCAAAACCCAAAATAAAATCCACAGGAAAAAGACCTCCTTTTTGGTAAAGCACACCCCAGTATGTCTTTCGACGCGGGAGTGTGCGCAGGTCGGCAAGGTACTGCGGCACGCGAAGGAACATGTCGTCGTCACCCTTCGCAATGTACGGGACCGTGGGGAACAGGCGCAAGGCAAAGTCAAACAAAAAGTATGTCTTGCGGCTCATGCCAATCTCAGCCTCCAGGCCCCAAAAGCCGGAGCCACCAACGGTTTTGTTCGTCGTCACGCGGCCCTCATCAATGGAGGTTGTAACGACGTCTTGCCACTGCGCCGCCTCCTCCAGCAGCGTGGCAGAGTAGTTGTGGCCGTGCGACGGGTGCCGCGCAAGGACGTACAGCACGAGCATCGCACCGGTGAAGTTGTTCGCCCTCGTCGCCACTCCGGGGAAACGCCAGCACGTCGACCGCTGCAGGTGGCGGCGCCGCTGCCTCGCCTCCACATCCACAGTGGGAATGCCAAGAACAATGAGAAAGTCTCGCTTCTTCCACGCGTCCACGACATCGCAGGGAACGTATCGCAGTGCCTCCCCGTCAGTGGTGCGGGGGAGTAACTGGGGCTGCTGGGAA